ATGATATTCTCATTTGTTGTTGCCTAAGGTGGCCTGTATCACCGGATCACACCTTAAATGAGGTCTTTGTTCACTCTCCTTGCTTCTGCTCATACATAAATAAGAACTGTATTCTAGAGTATTTGGTATAAATATTGAAATATTGTTTTCTGGTTAAAATCAATGGGAAGGAAACATTGCTTTTTTATCACCATGTGAAATTTTGGGGTTAAGTAAAACTTCTACTAAGACAGTGAAAATATTAGTAATTAGCGTTGTGTATTAGTTTCTAAATATTTGCTTCCCTGTTAAAATGGGTTAATGTAAATGATAAAATTTTAAGTTCCTCATTTGACTCTCACAAGATATATGAAGGTTTTATTTTTTAGAACTTCATCCAATGTCCCAAGTTTAATATGAAGATAAAATTATTTGCATTTCAAATTATGAAATGATTTCTCATTGTAAGAGTCATGGGGGAAGAAGAAGGCACACCTTTTCCTGCCGTTCATAAAGTTTAAGGCAGAAATGCTTATTTAGAATTAAACTTCTGGAAAAAATGTACTCATCCATTCATTTGGCTCTGCATGATGATGATTTACTAATTTTAAAAGTCTTACTTATGGAAGTCTCAGTTATGTTACTTTCTTCAGGGTTCTTGGGGATGGAGACAAAGTTCGGTGATTAAGAGCGTAAGTCATTCTTCCAAAGGACCACAGTTTCATTCCTGCACCAACATGGAAGCTCACAACTGTCTGTATCTCTAGTTCCAAGGAGTCTGATACTCTATTTTGACTTCTACCAGCACCAGCCATGTCAGTGGTACAGAGAAATATATGCAAGCAAAACATCCATATACATACAAACTAAAATAAAAGTTAAACATAAAATAAATAAAATGAAATTAGAAACCCTCCAGTCAGTTGGTTCTTTTCTGATATTGGTTCCTAGTGCATCTTTGGTATTTTTTATGCATTTTGGTGTATTTCCTATTTACAGCTATCAAGCACAATAGTCATCTACTCATACTTTATGATAATTACTATAAGTCAAACACTGTTTTCATATTTCTTCTTTCTAATATTTTTCCAACATTTTGCATTTTTTCTGTTATTAAATTCTACAAAACAAAACAAAATCTGCCCACATACCCACCAGATTTGAGTCACGTAGAGTTTTTGTCAGAATAGAATCAGTGACAGTATAATTCACACGGTGTCACACAATCAAGTTCTGATATTTGACCTTATTAAGAGAAGATGTATGTGAAAAGCAAGATAAAGGTGACTGTCAGTTTGATGTGGTTAGAGTTCATAGAAAGGAAGGCAGGAGCATTTTGGCATCTAAATTTTGTTTTGCTTTGTTTTTTTCTTCATTTTTCCTTTTTCTTTACATTACTGTTTGAGACATTTACAGTTTCATTGTGTAGTCCAAGCTGATCTGAAAATTGCTACATAGACCAGGCTGACCTTGAACTCACAGAGATCCACAGGTCTCTATCTCCCAAGCATTTATAATAAATGTGTGCCACAATTCCTGACCAAGCAGCATAAATTTTAACACAGCAAAGAAAATAGATCTCTTTAAAGAAAAATCCTCCAACATTAGGGACTTCTGATATCATGGGATAAAGCTTAAAGGTGATGAATCATGTACACACAAGTGTATGGAACAAGTGAAGTCATGTGTGAATGTGCGCTATTGACATGGCCACAGACATAAAGGACTCCCATTCCTCAGCCTAACAAGAGTACCAAAACCTCCCTAGATCTGAGACAAATGAACAGAAAAAGCTTTTCCAATTTTGAGCATAAATCTTGACTGTGTTGTACAGAAATTTTCTACCATAGCTTTCTCTCCCCAGATGTTTACAGCCTGAAGACAGCTCCTCCGAAGACCCTGCTCCTACGGAGATTAGCCAAACCTGCCTCCTTGCTCAGCTGCATAGCAGTAAACACCAATTCTTTGTTCAGATGTCTACAGCATACTCCCACCCTGCTCTTCAGGTAATAAATACACTGAGATTTCCAGGATGCAGCAGATTCTCTGCCAGAGAGCCCAGTCTACCCAATTCCAGTTTCTCTATCTGTGTTTTTTTTTATTATTATTATTCCTTTGTGGATCCAGTCAGGTGAATCCCTGGAAACATGAAGGAAGAGGAACATAAGACACAGAAAGAAGTCCCAAGAAGATGAAAAAGAGACTCTCATTCCTCAAAAGGCTAAGTCCTTCTCATGAACATCCATACAGATTCCTGTCAGGAATCTATCAAAACAATATACGTGTACATCTATGTGTATCTGCGTGCCTCTGTGTGTGTGTGTTTGTGTGTGTGTGTGTGTGTGTGTGTGTGTGTGTGTGTGTGTGTGTGTAGAGACAGAAAATGGAACTCATTGTTTTCTGTGTGATATTAGTTAGAAGAATCATGCGTTATATCATATATCATTTGGGTCTCATCAGCTTATTCTTGCTGATGAATAACAGAGGCACAGACACCGTAAATTCAATAAATTGAATCTACATCATCAGAAAGCAACTAGATGATAATTGTACATTACTGCTTCTGGGATTTAGGGCCCAGTGTCCACACCATCTCACACTGCCCAAGGTGGCATGACACACTGATTCTAAGTTTATACTGAGGAACCTGTAATTCTCCTTCTTCAGTAATCTTGTTTTAAGACTTCAAGTAAAGGACATGGGCAATGTGTGAAGCCCAGATCCGATTTAAGTTCAAATTGATATCATAAAAAAACAAAGATACAGGTGGTTCATTGAGATCATTTAAGAGATTTGGCTAATGAATCCCTACTGAGAGATCTCAGTGGACAGTGTATGATGACTTTACACAGACACAAACCTGCATTCAAACCCAGAAAAAAAAGATAACCCTCAACAGAATAAAACTGACGCTCAAGAGGTACTGAATTAATCATTTCTAATGATGTCAGGGACTAACTAAAGAGAGGTTCCTTTGCTCATTCTCTATGGTGGCATATTTTGCTCAGTCTTGATACAGGGAGAGGGAGGGGGCAGTGCTTGATTCTGTCTCAAGTTGGTATGCCAGACCTTGCTAACTACCTATGGAAGAACTTACTCTATCTGAGGAATGAATGTGGGATTGGAAGTGGGGATATGGGAGTAGGAGAAGGGGGAGGAAGGAGAACTAGGGTTGGTATGTAAAATGAAAAGTAAAATTTTTAATAAAAAAAGAAAGAAAAGACTATATATGGAAGAAAGAAAAAAGAAATTCAAACCAGCCTGTTGTTGTGTTCACTCAATTTATTTTGGAATCCAGAACTGCAGAACTGTTCATATGAGCATGCTACTTCACATTTACTTATATCATTTGAGTTTTTTGTGAATTTCAGGCCATTTACATTTGTTCTTCAACATGAAATTAACACTTCAGCTCCTGTAAGGTAATAATTCCATTCACAAAGGAATTAAAACAGTGAGGGAAAATATCTAATTATTTTGTTAAGTCAAAGGTTACAGTTAAATAAAAACATTAGTATAGCTTGATTTGGTGACTCATGCAGAGGAGGCAGAGGAAGCCAGATCTTAGCAAGTTCAAAGCCAGTCTGGTCTACATAGTGAGTTTCAGAACAGCCAGGTCTTTGCAGAGACCCTGTTTCAACAAACAAACAAACAAACAAAAAATAATAGTAAAAAGAACAACCAAAAATGGTACCTGTATTTCAAAGTTAATAGGATTAAGCTTCTCCAAAAATGTCTTTATCATGAGTCACTATGTATAATAAGCAATACAATGTTTAATGACTTTCTTTAGAATCAGAATACACACCATACTAAGTCAGGCTATTGGTATTAATCTTCCATGCCATGATTATCTGTGTAATGAAATAAAGTTCTAGCACAGTTGGTCTGAACTAGCTACCTGCCTCTGAAGAACAAATTACAAGCATGATTCCAACTAGCAGCATGTGATTGAAAAGAGAATGTACTTTGGTTTTTTTTCTTTCTGGGTAATGAGCTCCAAGACAGAAGACAAAGTTCCTTTGTTTATGTGACTGTACTTAAATGTACCCTGGGATCTGCAGAAGAGGCACTGTGCTGGTCTTTCATCTGCTGCAAATTGTCCTTTGAAATGTCACCTTGCTCTGCAGAGATTCATAGGAAGTCGGAGACTTGTACAGGATTTTTAACACAGAGTGCCAAAAGGATGATTTGAATATGCTTTTGTGACTACAAAGACATTGGTAAACACCAGCAGACCATGATATCCAGCTCTCTGCAGAGCACTACTTGGGAAATGGAAGTTTTACACAGATACTTGCAGCTTCCTTGCTGAGACTTTAAATGTATAAATGAATCAAAATAACTTCTTTTTGACCCTTGAGCATATTTTAAATATATTCTTCTTTATCTTTTTCAGTAGGAAATGGTACAAAATTCATGGTATTTATTCAATTGTGACCAATATTTCCCTAAACGTCTGACACTTTCATTTAGTTTTATAATGCCATTTCGTTACCTGTAATAGGGACTCTTTAACCTTTGTATTGAAGCACAGATTAGAAGACAGCTACTGTTTAACCATTTATAGTGGTTGCTGAAACTCAGTTCTATGTCCCAGTTATATTAAATTATAATGTCTGTATATGCTCCTTCAAACACGGAAAAACATTCAAGAAAATAACACAATGAAATTTTGGCAAATCCTTTTCTTGCCTTTTCATCACCCCTTTCTTTTTTAAATGCACTCCTGTACACACACACACACACACACACACACACACACACTTCCATTTGCCCCAAATGCTGTCTAAAAATTTACAGAAATCAATTCTTTTGTCATAAGCTTTCAAGCATTTGAAAACTTTAGATATATATTTTACTTTGAGATACATTTCATTATGATAGTACTTTTAACTGTATTTCTAAGAGTCAGAATTGATTGGAAGGAATTGATAGATCCGTAATATGCTACATAACTTTGTACCTTTATAATTGACATGACTCTGAGAAATGATAGCATCAGAAAAAAGCAAACTTACCACTTCTTCATGCCTGCATTTCCTCACATTAATTCCATTTATCTGCAATGGAAGGAGATTCTCAGTTTCACATAGTGTATTATAAACTGGCTTTTGTTTGCATCCACAAAGACAATAATGAGATGTATACCTGCAGAATTGCATCTCCGATGAAAAGCAGTCCTGAAAGCTCCGCTGTGAATAAGAACAATTGAATATACCTTGGCATTTGTCAGACAAATAAGGCGTTTTGTCTTAATTAAGGATAAAACTGTAAACTAATTATAAGTGTTTTAAACTAGTTATGAGCATTTTATAGGATCCCCAAAGAATGTAAATTAATAATATGATTTATCTTTTTTTCAGTTGCTGAAATAGACAGACATTTCTTTTTGGTTCTAACATTTTATGACCTTATAGCTCTTAAAACATGATCAGTCCCCTCCCAACATTTTGTGATTCTTTTTCTTTTTCAGTAAGACTAATTTGTACTGTCCAAATAATCTTGGATATGTGGCTTTCCACAGTAGCATGGTTGACTTCTCAGGTTGTACACTCTGGTTGTGTACTCTGTATTTTGATCTTGAAAGGTCAGAGTGATGATACAAATTTGATCAAAGCTTGTTATTAATAGTTCTCAAAAGCTAACATATATGGATATAATATGTACATATTATATATGTATATATGTATATTCATTAAAAATTGATCAGTTTTCTTAATGGGTTACCAACTTTCTTAATGCCTTTATACTATGATATCTCTGTGCAAATAACTATGATTTAGACTTTCAATCTCTCAGCTTCATGTTTTTTGGGGAAATACTATGCTCTTTTCCTAATAAATTGTCAATTAACCCTTGATTTGTATATTCATGATGGGTTTTAGATGTAGCCTCAAAGGAAGAGAGTAAAATTGAGAGAAACAATTGTATCTGTATTTGTCCATGAAATGTGACATGATTTTTGGGTTTTTGACCAACAGTTCAGAAGCTGTTCATATATAATCATTTCATCCATGGTCGATTCATATACGGTCATTTGAACTATTCGAGCCTATCACTTTCCCCTTTCTCTCTTGTAGGAGGACCCAGGGAAACTGAAGAATCAGACTTAACCTCTCACTGTATGAAGCTGCGGATCCAGGAGAGCCACTCACATACCAATCAATGAGCATGGTATTACAGAGGACTGACAGCTACAAGGTTAGCTATGCACATTACCTCTTTGCTCCTTGGAGATTTTAGAAATGACAACTGGAATGTTATGTTCTGCACCTCCCTAGAAAGAGACAGTCATAAATCATATTTTAAGCCACCTTTTAGCCAATAAATAAATATAAAATCACTGAAAGTTATAAATAGTACATGTAGTAAAAACCAAGCAGAATTAAAGCAAATTTACAGAATTTCTTTTAAGTAAGCATCATTTCCATGAAGTTTGGCTAAGTTTTTTGAAGTACTATAATGATATTTAAAAATTAGCAACAATTAACTAAAAAAATTTTATTTCTCAAAAAAAAAATCATGTCCATAATGGCATTCTGCTCAAAACCCATTAAAAAGAATGCAAGGTATCTTGATATTTGTTGCTTAGGATTCCAAGCATCGGATATTCATATATTTCAATTCTCTGACTATTGTGCTTTGCCAAACAGACATTCTTTCAATGATTCATTCTCAGCGCTAAATAACCAGAGAGATCTTTTACCCACACAAACCTATAAACAAAATCAGGAGGGACCTAAGCGTGATGGGGACAGAACCATCAGTATTTCCTAGCTAGTATTAGACTCCTGTGTGTGAAAACAGAGGCTAACCAATTGTCAGATCAAGGGACTACCTGCACACAGCATGCTCTAGTGGCTATGGAAGGTAGGCCTACAGAACAGAGTACTGTGCATAGAGTACACAATGAGGACCACGCATCAAGGCCAGGGAACCATCTGCACATTTACATGATGATAACACAGCAGTAGGCACTGTAGTGAGACGCTCTGATCTCTCAGCAAATGCTAGGGCAGAGATAGTTATTGTTGTTTTTCGCTTATTTGTTTATGCTTTTGTTTTGTTTTGTTTTTACTTCTAATAATGTGTGTTTGGAAATTTAGAACGGCAATCCAAGCAGATGTGCTGGTGTCCTTCTACCAGTGTATTTTAAAATTATATACATTTTTTTTTTTTGCAGCTAAAACTCATGATTCATGTTCTGAATCTGAACAACTACAAGCTAAAACCTACCTAATATTGGTTCTACTGGTGATGCCTTCAGTTAACTAACCCAGTTCTTTTGTTCTGTTATTCTTAGTTGAAACACTAACTTACTCTTAGCAGATGTGACTATGAATTCAGCATGTAACAACACTGATTATTTAGCTAAAGCAAACAAGGAAAAATATATGGTTCCTTGACCTAATTTTAAAATCCTCTAATAAGTTTTGTATGTGTCCCTTGCTTGAACTGATGACAAATACACATAAAGTATATATTGAGACAAATATTTTGAATATTGAGTTTCTTTGCATTAAGTCACTTTGACAATGTTTATCATAGGTAATAGCCACAAATTCAAAACGCCCCTTTCTGACATACATAACGGAAACTGGATAAAATATCTTTATTCACCAAAAACAATGTACTAAGTAAGTAAATATTAACTTAAGAATTGGGATTGATAAATTTCCTTTAATGATTCAGAGAGTCAGATTGATAAAAGAAACAAAGTTGTTGCGCTAGGTCTTCAGGATTTATATGCTGTAATTCCTACTATGCAGCACTATTCTCTCAATTTTTCTTTTTTCTCTTTTATTTTCTCTATTCACCTTTTCCTCTCAATTTTTTCAGTCATCTCAATGATGACAATCTGCATGAGTGATACATTTTTACCAGGCAACACTGGCAACACTGTACAGATTAAACAACTCTTAAATATTGTGATCAGAACTTGGAATTGATAAATGAAATTTACCAATCTCTTTAACAAAGTGATAATTGAGTAAAATGATAAATATAAAATACAACTCATGCTTCAATTGTTCTCATTTCTCCTCCACAGGGACTTGTTCCCTTTTTATCCACCAATGTCCCATGCTGCTGGATGATAAAGGAAAGTTTTTTGCCACCAGAATAGTTGGTATTAATGAGAAGACTCATAAAGAAACTAATTCTTTATGAAGTAGTTCTACTTGATATTAGGTAACATTCCCAGTCCTTTCTTGTAATATTTAAATCAGAAGATAACAATAGTCAGGTTCTATAAGAGCATCCCAGATTACAGTTTACTCTAAAACATCACAGAGCCGTTCTTGTATTGTTATGAGTCACCAACATTTTCATGCAAACAAAATGTTAGCCTTTACAGCTCAGTCTTTGCAAAGAAAGACTGGAAAGGTGACTACCTTTATGCTTAATCCAAATCCTCCTACTGTCTGCCTTCTAATTGTCACCGTTCTTTCCTGAAAGAGAAGAGATTTAAGAGTGGTAAGTGTTTCTTTACACTAAATATACATTTTCCTATTGTTTTTTTCAATTTCTGTTTAAAATGTGGAGGAAAATATTTGAAAACAAAAATACTTCAAATATGACAATTGATAGAACATTTTACAGGGAATACAAACTGGAAAGAAAGAAATCAAAGTATAGCCACTTGCAGATGATATGATAGCATACATAAGTGATCCCAAAAATTCTATCAGGGAACTTCTACAGCTGATAAATATCTTCAGTGATTTGGCTGAATATCAGATTAAATAAAAGATATCTGTAGTTCACTTATATACAAAGGGCAAATATGATAAGTAAGAAATCAGAGAAAAAAACTCCCTTCACAATAACCACAAATAATATAAAATATCTTGGGGTAACGTTAATGAAGCAGAAAAGACCTGTATCAAAAGAAATTCAAGTTTTTGGAGAAGAAAATTGAAGAAGGTATCAGAAGATGCGATGATCTCCAATACTCATGAATCAGGAGAATTAACATAGTATAAATGAATATTCTACCAAAAGCAATCAACAGAGTCAAAGCAATCCTCATCAACATTCCAATACATTTATTACCAGTCCTTGAAAGAGAAATACTCCACTTTATATATAAAATTTAAAAAATAAAAAACAGGATACCTAGAACAATCTTATGCAGTAAAGAACTTCTGGAGGTATCACAATTCCTGAATTTATGCTATATTACAGAATTGTAGTAACAAAAACCTGAAATATTGGCATAAAACAGTCACATCAATTAATGGAATTGAATCAAAGACTCAGACCTAAATCCACACACCATTGGACACTTGATTTTTTTTATAAAGAAGCTAGAAATATAGAATAAAAAAAAAGCATCTTCAACAAATTGTGCTGGGCAAATAGAATGTTAGTATGTGGAATATCACAAATAGATCCATATGTCTCTTCCTGCACAATAGTCAAGTCCAAGTGTAACAAAGACCTCAATGAAAAACCAAATACAGTAAACCAGATAGAAGAAAAAATGGAGAATATTTTGGATGCATTAACACAGGAGATCAACTTCATGAACAAAACAGAAATAACACAGGCACTAAGACCAACAATTAAAAAGGGGACATAATGAAACTAAAAAGCTACTGTAAGTGGGCATCATATATCCTAGATGCAATAATTCTTTAGTATTTTGAGGATTTAATATTATGTTATGAAGTAAATACAACAATGAACTAAAAAGATTATTCTTTAGAAAACTGTGCTGAATTAGTGTTAAAAAAACAAATATATTTTTCAAATAAAGAGCAGACTTTTATAGCTCTTTTAACAAGTAAGAAAGAATGGACAAACTTTGGAAAAGAGTAAAGACTTGTGCTAGCTTCAGATTTTCAAGCACCTATTACATTCACTTCTAGCTCTCAAAATACTTGCAATGTTTCACTGAAACAGTCCTTGATAATTTCTGATGTACGGGTTCCTAAGAACTGAAATTGACTTGTTCAGATTTCTGACCTCAGTAGTTAACACAGAACCCAAACTAAACTTAACTATGTGTTAATTTTAAATAAAATAGACAAGGGATTAGAAAATTTTTTTCACAAATAATAGTGTAACAACCAAGAAAAGGAAAGGAAAACAAACAAACACCAAGGTAAATCTTCCTTTTGCATATGAGTCTTAGTCCTGGAATTTTAGACAATTTTCCAATCAGTTTTAAAATGTATTTATACAAAAATATGTGTTAGAGTTGTAGCTGTTATATTTATTATTGTCAAATATGCAAGAAGTGAATTGGTGAATAGGAGGACACTGCTTGGCAGCGAAATGGTTTTCATGCTGAAGGCCAGGAGTGCTGAGGAGCTGATAACAGGTGTGGAATGGCTTCTCAATGCAGGTCCCTTATGACAAAATGATTTCTCACTCTGTCAAGAGATAAAGAAGTCGAGGAGTGGGAAGAACACAGGAAGTTCCCATACCTTCCTCTCAGCTCTGCTGTACACTTCAAACGTCTTTTCTCTTACTTCCCTTTTAAAACTCTTGTGAGATTATAATCACATTTTCCCTTCCCTTTCCTCCTTCCAAACCCTTCGATACAAAATTCATGGCTTAGTTTCTTCATGAACTGTCAACCGGAGTTTTAAAAGGTAGTCTTAGAATGAAAAAGTGAGACCTGAAATTCATGTGGGCGAGTAAGAGAAGTCAGGCTGAATGGATGGCATACTTTGATTTTCTTCATTTGACATTCTAACAAGACAATCTGCGGGGCTGGCAAAAGGATAATCTAAACAGGGGAAGCACAGTGACAAAGACCCCAGTTTTGTGGCTTTGTAGTAGTGGCTACAAAACTTTAGAGCACAGGGCAAGCAACATCTGCTTATTTATCATAACATTCAGGAAGTTAAGGAAGGGGGTCCAAACTTGAATGGCAATGTGAGAAAATTATATAATTACTTCAAATGTTCATGTTCTTACTTCTGTGTGTCTCACAGCACTAGACACTCTATTACTTAAAAATCTGTTTGATTTTTCTAAAATAAACCATCTCCATTATGCAAATCAGCACCCATTCTTCTAATTTTAGTCTCTCTAAAGCTGCACACTGGGCTCTCACCATAATTAAATAACATAGGAGGTATTGCTTTTGCCTTTTTATTATTTATCAATGCATCAGCGCTTCATTCCTTTTAAATAATAGTCTGCTGCATGCATGTGCTACAGTGCATCCGGAAACCTTGGCCTGGGGATAAGACATGCAAATTAGACACACATAAAATCAGAACAGAGACACAAGTTTTAAAAGAGGTCTTCACTGAGCTGTGGAAATGCTAGGCAGAGGTGTAGGAAAGGCTGCAGTGAATACAGGCTTCCCCAGAGAAAGGAAGTCCTCATACAGAGTTACAGTTCTTATAATGCTCCATTAGTTATGAGGCCAGCATATTTAAAGAGCATTTTTCTTATGGAGTAGGGAGGTTTACTCATTTAAGACTCAGATAAGTGGTCATTTCTGTTGAGAGACATGCTGTCACTCTGAGCCTGGCTGGGGAAAGGAAACCCTTGTAGTGAGAGCAGAAGGATGAGTGTCAGACAGTCCATGTAGCCTATTTTCAGAAGGAATTATGCATCCTCTTACTGAAGAAGGGTTAGGACTGAGAATTTACTTGTATTTTCCATATGAAATTATCAATCTACTACGGTTGTACCCTTGGTCATGTATGCATTCTTCCACAGAAGGCCTACACTTGACTTGTTTCTTTGAGTCTCATGAATGTCATGCTGTGGTTTTGAGTATGAAATGTTGCTTAGACATGTGTCTTATTTATCTTTGCTACAACCAAAGTGCATGTTTGAGAAATCAAACTGCTTCCAAAGGCTGTGAGACTCTAGCCTTCCCTTCCCAGTAGCTGAAGATTCCAGCTTCATACCTGCCATTGCCTATTGTTCTAATTGAAGCTGTTTCAGTGGGGTAAAGCAGTAACCCTTGTCTTCAGATGGTGTTTCTAAGATCACATTTTCTCACTTACTAACTCGTTCCCTATATAACTTCTATTGAAAAATAATCATTGAAATTCTTTGACCAATTTCTGGTTACCAATTGTATTACCCAGCTACAGTAATTCCTTATGTATTCTAGACAATAGTCACATGCTGGAGAAACAGTGTTTACTCACTCTGTGTCTCATCTTTTAATTTAAAAAGTGTTCCTTGAAGAAAAAAATATTAATTTTGATGAATGACAATTTAACAATTTTTTCTTTGCTACGGTTACATAAGATTCTGTCTACAGTTGAATAGTCTTTTTCTTACACTTAAATTTTATTCAATTTGAATAACATTTTTATGTAATGTGAAGCAGGTATTCAATCTTATTAACTTATATGTGTCTATCAAGTTGTTCCAACATCATTTGAGGAGGAATTGATTGTTTCCCTGTTAGTCATGGTGTTCTCAGTGGAAAGCAACTGATTGCCAGTGGGATTTTATTTCCCGACTCCCCTTCCTTTATGTGTATGCACCTGTCAGAAAATCATCATTGCTGGTGCCAATGTCTAGCCACAGAAAGTTTTTTAAAGTCAGAAACTGTAATTCTTCCAACTCTTTTATTCATTTTTAAATCACTTAAGTTATTATAAGCCTCATACATAACATATCCAAAAGAATCTAGCAGAATTGTGGTAAAGTTGACAAACACATTTACCAAAGTAGCAGGATAGAATATACAATATAATTAACATACAATAATCTGTAGCCTACTTGTTGGCCAATGTCAAATACACAGAGAAAGAATTCAAGGAAATAATCCAAATCATGATAACCTAAGGAGCTAAATACTTGAAATAATCTTGCCAAAGAAGTGAAAGACTTCTGAGTTGAATATTCTAAAACAATGAAGGAAGAAATACTGCAAAAGACACCTGAAGAGAGACCAGCACATCCCCGATATGCTCATGGATTTGTAGGATTCATATCTTGAAGGGTGCCATACAATCTAGAATAATCTACTGATTCAAGAAAAATTCACCAAAAATTCCAATGAAATTCTTCAGAAAAAATTAAAAAATGGTCTTTAAACTCATGCAGAAGCAAAATAGTTTCAGGACAGACAAAACAGCCTTGAACAACAAGAATGCCAGAGTTAACGTCATACTCCACAAATACTTGCTCAGTCCTGTTCATTGCCACTATATTCACAATAGCCAGAAAATGTAATCAACCTAAATAAATATCTTTAAACTAAAAAATAGATACAAAATTCATGTGTGAATTTGAACACTATTAAGTTGCAAAGAAAAAATAAAAGCATACAATTTGTTGGTAAATGTTTAAAACTAGAAATTATTGTATTGATTGAGTAAACCCAATCCCAGAAAAACTAATACTGCATGTTTTCTCTCATTGATATTACTAGTCCAAAACCTTCAGAAGTGAATATATAACTTTGTATAACTTTAGAAACAGGGACACTCTGGGCCAGGGGAGAACCGCAAGAGGAAAT